CAACTTTTCTCTGTTTCTCTGGCAATTATATTTTAAATGAAATGCAATCCTTGTCAAACAACCAACGTCTGGAGTTTCAGAAAGACACCTCCAGGCATACACATACCTAGTAGCAACTCCCTTGATAACTACCATGGTTCATGTCCACCTGATTTACTTTCATTTTAAATAATTAAATGGTAAACTAGCATGGGCAGAAGTGCCAGCCTCCAACATGATTTTTATTTCAAGGAATGTCTAAGTAAAAGTAAAATAATGGGTTACACCCCTGTGCTCTGTTCAAAAATGTCTACCTGCCCAGAAAAAGGATAAAGGTAAGTTGAAAGGATAGACAGCATCAGGGGCGGGGCTAAATGGGGTGTCAGGGAATAAACCCATCCATCTGCAGTCTAGTAAATTAATGTTTTTTGTAACTGGTCATGCCCTTTATGACAGCCATTTTGTGAGAGTGCATACGACACATCCTTAAAATTCCAAATATGTCTACTGCCATAAAACAGTTTGAGATTCCCGGCCATTTTCCTGCTCCATAAGATATTCGTTCACTTCTCTCTTTTTTTGGGGGGGGGGTAACCTTTGAGTCAGTCTTGAATCCTGGCAATTGCCTGGACAAGTCCATGCAGTTTTCTCAACAACATTTTTGGAAGTGGTTTGCCATTACCTTCTTCCTAGGGTTGAGAGAGAGAGAGGGAGAGAGAGTTTGGCCCAAAATCACCCAGCTGACTTTGTGCCTAAAGGAGGATTAGAACTCACAGTCTCCTGGTGTCCAGCCTGATACCTTACTCACTACACCAAATTTGCTCTCTCATTTCATTTACTTCCCTAAAAACAAAGAAAGAAATCCCTTGGAGACTACTAGGCATACAAAAGATATCTTATCCCCTAAAATAAGTTAAGAATCAACCACAAGTTATTAACTCTTCCCCAGAACATATTATACAGTCAACATTAACAACCTAATTTTTTTTTCATAAGTTAGCATCATTATCTCCCAAACCTAAATATTTCATTTGATCTTAAAGCAAGTGATTAAATCATTTCACTATGGACAGAAACTCTTTCACCCCAGTACTCAATTTTTGCAAAATAAGTAACTATTTCCAAACAAACCTCTGCACCATTTCAGATAACTGTTCTTGCTATATACATGCAATCCTCAACAAGTTTTCGAAGTCTGCACTATACAAATAAACTCCCATTTTTAATCTATATACTCTACCACGTATCCACTATAATATTATTCCATAATGGAAGCAGATGATCATCATACAAATATTCTGCATTTCACAGATGAAAAACCAGAAATGATTCATGTAACAGTAACTTAAAAACTGATGGTACAGCAACGTGGAGCTTCATTGTGACACACTAAATTCACTTAAGACTTAGGATGGAACCACATAACTACAAGATTATGCTTTTCACTCTCCAAATGCATCAACACCTTTAACAGCTGCACTCACACATCACACTAAACCATAATTTCATGAATAAACTACAACTGGATAGGCATGTACATCATGCCCAAAACTGATGACTTCCATATAGAAAAGTTGGGTTTACCCAACAGGTCAACCCAAAATGAAATACACCACATTATGGCTTAGTATGAAACAGGCCTTCCTCTCTTCTGCACTCACTAAAGAAACCAAACAAGTTGTCAAAAGATAAAACTCTCCTCCATGCCCAGCACAGAAATAAAAATAGGTGTAAGAGAAAGTAGCTCTTCTTCTGATAGTTCCTGCAATTTAATATATTTGCTTACATGGTAGTAATTTCTGTGGAGTCTCAAAGAAGCATTTTTGCACTCCTTTTCCTCCACATAACAAAAGTAGGATCTGGTCCCCTCCTGGCTGAAATGACTTCACCCATCTCTTGATATTAACCATTTCTTTATACCCACGAAGAGTTTTAACAGTCACAGAACCCACACTTCTATGTTATAATTTATTTTCAGGTAGTTGCAGTGGCAATGACTGTCTGTTTCCAGCATTGCAATGTTTGTCATCTGCACATCTCTCTGGGGGAAGAGAGACCTAGCCATTGTGTGACATACTATGGTAACTACTCCGCAGAATTAAAGTTATGCACTCAACCATTGAAATGCCTCTGAAGACTATTAAAAAGTTACAAGCTTTCCAATATGCAGTATTTGGATTCATGTCCAGAATGGAGAAAGAATGTAATACAGCTACCTGTAAAAAACCACAGTCATGCATATCTGCCTACACAGTTACTTTAAAGAGTTAGTAGCAAAATTTTAAGCTCAGAATGGCTTTGATCTAAGACATCTGAAAATTGCTTTAATACACGTTCTCTCTCTCCCCATGTCCTAAAACTCTAACCTGGAGATAAAGCCCTGTTCTATGTTCCTTTACAGCTGCAGAAAAATGAAGTTCTGTTTCCTGATTTTGATCAATACACTGTTAAGCCATAATTTGTTTAGCCATGATTTACATATGATTGAATTAAGATAATATAAAATGCCACAAACAAATTGTATCACAGTTTAGTGTAGCGTAGGAACCTAGCTGAGAACCATTTTGATGTAGTGGTTAAAGGCACCAGAGTATTAATTGGGAGACCGCGAGTTCCAGTTCTGTCTTAGACAATAGCCAGCTGGATGATTCTGGGCCAGTCAATCTCTCTCAGTCTTCAGAAGAAGGCAATGGCAACCACTTCTAAAAATGTTGCCAAGAAAATTGCATGGACTTCTCCATGTAATCACCAGGAGTCAAGATTTACTCAAGACACAACACGAAAACCCTAGCCAATGACTTTTGGAATTCTATTCTTTAAAAAGTATACCCAACTTAGCCCCAGCTTTTAGAAGATTTACTGAGTTCCTCTGAATGTTGACTGGGTACCAAGAATTAATTCAATATTTTGATCTAATCTGATGATTTTACAATTTACTTTTTAGTTTTATTTTATTGATTCATTATTACTAGCTACTTTACAAGATTATGTAGCATTAAAACTTTTCTATAACTATCTTGTGATTGCAACCAATAAAATCTGTTATCAAAAATATGCAATTCTGAATGTTTCACACACAATACATCTCAACCAACTAAATCCCATTCAATTATAGTACATTTCTGTATATCTGTCATACCACTTTACAAAACTGACAGTATCTATCGACAGTAATTGTACATGTACAGACACTTTGGCTGGCTCCCCTCCTTCTTACATAGAATTTTTACACACTTCCCCTATTTATTACAGTTGTTATTTTCTAAGAAGACATCGCCCATAATATATCTTAATTAATACTGCCAACAGTTTCCAAGTCAACTGTAAGTTCTTTATAAAAAAGCAAGTACTGTACACAACTGTAGTGGAAAAATGCTGAAGGAAAAAGGAAACCAAAGTTGCCTATACAGCAGAAGGAGGAAAGTTCAAGGAGTGCCCAGTCCACAAATATGAGGCACATTTCTGCATCAGGCTTAGCGAATTAATACAATTATTTATTATTTTTATTTGTTAGATATAACCTGCCTTTCCACCAGGATGTCAAGGCAGCCTACATAGTATTCCTCCTTCAGTTTGTTTCCACAACCACAAACCTGTGAGATACATTGGACTGAAACAGTGACTAGTCTATAGTCTTGCAATGAGTTTCCACAGCTGAGGGAAAACTTGAATCTTGGTTTCTCCAGTCTTAGTCCAATGCCTTAACCATCACATTCCTATCTATCTATCTATCTATCTATCTATCTATCTATCTATCTATCTATCTATCTATCTATCTATCTGTCTTTGCAGTGATTAACCATACAGTAATACTGGGATTATTTATTTGATCTAGACAGCCTATATAAACCTGTTGACCAAATTAATTCATGCTCCTGATAAAGTAGTCGCAACCTCACAAAAGCTGATACCTCACTAAATATTACTATTTAACACCTCAGGGTTGCAGGAAGTGGTTGTTGTGGAGGAGAGAGAACAAAATCATGAAAAGCATGAAAGCTGTTTAGGTGACAGTTAAAATAAGGGGGCAGTATTGGCATGAAGGGGGGGGTGAGAGGAGAAAAGGGCACCACTAAAGTCAGAAAAGCAAATGTTGAGGGGCTGTGAGAATGAAGGGGAAGGAGGAAGCTATGAACAGGAAAGACAACAACAACTGGGACAAATCTTGCTTTGCAATGAAGACAAGCAAGAAAGAAAAGGAGCACGCCATGGCTGAATTTACGCAACATGCTTATAACCTGGCCACTAAGTTAACCCAGTTTCTAAATACACCAGTTGGGTTCACACAACATTCTAGGTCTCAAAGAACCCTTCTTGTACCCCAGTACAGCTCCAAGCTGGAGAAAGCTGAAGTAGAGGATTCATGGGAGGATTCATATATCACAGATGAATTCATGAGCAAGGAAGAAAAGAGTTTTGGGTAAGATTTGTCACAAGGGTAGGAAGGGCAGAAAACCCACGTGTGGGAGGGTCATGGGAAGAAAGGAGAAGGGTCAGCTGTTCGGGAGAATGGAAGGGAAGAAACAGTCACTTGCGGAGGGGGGGAGCCTGGGATGGGAAAGAGGCAGAGGCAGAGACCGCAGTGATAGGTGGCTGAAGCCAGAAGTCATTGTGAAAGGTGATGGTGCCTAAGGAGGTGGCGATGTTGAGCAAAGGAGAAGAAGCGGCCGGCGGGCAGGAGGCCGAGGGGCTGGTAGGAAGGAAGCGGAGCCAGGAAAGGAGGGAAATGGCGAAGGAGGGCTCCTAGGATGCGGGTGAGGAGAGCGACGACCAAGGTAGTAGAAACGGGGGGATTAAGTCAGGATGAGCGCGGGGAGGGGAAGAAACCCCGGTGGGAAATGAGGGGCAGATAAAGTGGGCTCCGCTCCTCCCAAGCCGACCCCCCCTCCTTCCCTCCCTCTCTCTGCGGCCTGCATTCCTCTCCGCTTCCCACGCCCCCCTTTGCACCCAGGTCGAGGCAGGATTAGCAGGCCGCGGCCGGGGCCGGAGCCGGCGCCCCCACCCGGCCTCCCCGGCCTCACCCTCGGTCGACTCCGAAGCCGGGGTCTCCCCGGGCTGGGCCATGACCGACCCAGCTCGTCCTCGTCACGCCGAGGCCGGGTCCGCTACGTCAGGCGACGAAGCCGAACGCATCTTGACAGGCGAAGGGGGCGGGGAATCGGCGGCGGCGGCGGGAGGGGAGCGCGAGCGACTACGCATGCGCCCAGCGGCGCTGAAGACCGTGCAGGGCGGCGTGCTGTCGGAAGGCAAACCTAGCGGGGAGCAGAAGTTGCTGCAGCTCCCGGCTGCTGGGGTGATGGAAGCGGCAGTTGAGTACACCTGAAGGCTGCTAGGTTGCAGAAAACTGAACCACAGTGCTGGGACGAAGTTGGGATGATGTGCTTTGGAATGAAAATTGGCATTGGCTGGGTTCACACGCTGCCTTTATGGATGAAAGCAGGGAAGGACAAACTTTTCGTAGCTGAGGCCGGGTTGCTTTCTTGGAAATAATCTTTCAGTAGTCATGGTGATGATCCGGTGATGTTGCTAGAGTCAGCAGGCCTGGACATTTTTAATTACTTTGGGGTCCCTGGGGTTAACTAAGGTAGAAAAATAAAGCGGATGCAATTGTTCTTAACTGATGGTATGTACATCACAGATGGTAGTCAGAAATCTCTGTAGGAGGTGGAACACATTGAATGAATGACTGAATAAACAAACAATGTGGGACCCAGGGTAAGTCGTCAAAACGTTAATTAAAATACATTCTGTACCACAGTGGAACAGTCTACCTACAGAGGTTGTGGGTACGCTACCTCTGGAGGTTTGGAAGAAGAGGCTAGACATCCGTCCCTAGGACAGTTTGATTGACATCCCTGCACACAGCAGAGGCTGGACTAGAGGATCCTTGGGATTCCTTCCAACTCTACCATTCTGTGTTTACATGATTTAAAACCTTCCAAAAACAATAAATGCAATAATAGAATACCTGTAAACATATTCCTGTCCTGCATGGGTGTTTTTCTATTTTTTTTCAATATTTTTATTAAACTTTATATACATAAAAACTAATACAAAACTAAAAAACCTACAAACAGAAAGAAAGAGAAAAGAGAAAGCAAGAAATGTAAAAGGTGATTTCCCCCTCCCTCCAAACAAGTATATGTATTAACAGTAACTTAACACATTCTCTATTATTACTAAAAAAAAAAACAACAACAACCCTCTTTATCCCCTTTCTCATCCCTAAATAATAACAGAATTGTAAAAAGTATTCAACAATCAATCGAATCAGCAAAAGGATTAAGAGTGCCAGTAATAATAAACTATAATTTTTAAGCTTAAACAAATAGGTCAATTTTGTATTTTAGCTTCTAAGTTTTTTCTGAGAAGTAAAATCTAAAAGATCTCTCCCCTTAAGCATATAAAAGACCAAGAGTGCCAGTAATAATAAACTATAATTTTTAAGCTTAAACAAATAGGTCAATTTTGTATTTTAGCTTCTAAGTTTTTTCTGAGAAGTAAAATCTAAAAGATCTCTCCCCTTAAGCATATAAAAGACCAATAATAATCACATATGTGTTTTAAGCTAAACCAAATAAATCACTTTTACAGGTATAAATCATCGTCTTATAGTCCTGGTCAGAAAAAGAAAATTCAGTATTAACAATCCAAAATCAAAACACAGACAATTTAACCTTGATCTGCTAAATCCACTTTGAATTCCTTTCTCTTCTTTTTGAAAGGCTCAGTCTTCAGTCTCTTCTCCAAGTAAAACCCCAGATAATAATCACTTATCATTCTCTTCCTATCTCTTTCCAAAAAGGGTTTCAGAGATTTGGTATTTTTCTTCACTATGTCCAAAAGAGAATAGTTCTCAAAGTCACTATTCCAGTCCAAATAGGCAGTTTACAATGTTAGTTAAAAGAGGAAGTAAAGCAGATCTTATGTCCTTTTGAAGGCTCCGTACCATGGCTTGGGCTCGAGGTTTCCTGAGCACTCCACCCACTAGAGATTGCTAGACTGCAATCTTCATAGGGAATTTCTCCACCCGCTAGAGATTGCTAGATTGCAGTCTTCACAGGGAATCTCTGTAGGAGCACCTGTGGGTGATCCTGTTGATCTCCTTTATCTGGAGCTGACTCCAAAGAGCTAGACCAAGGCCAACTCCTCTAACTGCCATGGGCATCGGCTCCACAAAGAACAGAGCCATATTCACTCGGCCATTTCTTCCCCGGAAGCTATCATGGGTGTTTTTCTATTGTGGTGAGACCCAAATTCTTTGACTGAGTGGGACTTAAAATATGATAGGTTGAGAACTACTGGTCTAATTTACCCCTTATATTTGTTCTGTTCTTCTGAAACCATGGAAAATCATGCTGCCCTTGATGATTTGCCACCAAATTTCAGAGGTGCAATTGAGGCTCCAGGGTCACAAAACAGTCCAGGATGCAGCCTTTGGCCTTATGTTACCTCCCCCAACTTATTGCAATGTACAAAACCAGCCATACACACAGTCACTTGAAAATATCAACACAAATCAAAATAAGTTTTTCCTCCCCTCCTCCTTACAAATGCATAGTTCAATTCTATGCAAATTCTATATAAACTGATAAATGTGTATGTTTACTTAGAAACAATTCTTAGTGTGTTCAGTTACTCCAGACGAGTATATATCAGAGTTTAGCAACAACAGAGGCAATAATTTTCTGAATACATGCCTCATATCAAACACCATTGCACAAATGCTTAGGTAAAGACACATATGACTCTATGGTTGTATAGCTTAGGAAGGCACCCCTGAAATGTGGGCATCCTAGCTAATTGATTCTTTATTTTGTCTTGATGGTTAAGCATGCCTCCCATCACCAGGATGTGGTGGAGAGAAAAATGTTAAGAAGGGATGGTTGGTATTCAATAAGGCTGAATATCACGTTCTTAAATATAATAGAAGTTGAATTATACATTGGAAAATATAGATATCTGAAAAGCACCGTATCTGTTTTCTCTGTTTGCAGATGTCACAGTAAATTAGAACTGTATTATCAACACAGAAATGCTATTCTTGTTCTGTTTTAGAAGCAAAAGGATTATGAGTAGTTGGCTTGCACACATAATCATAGATTCATTGTATTGTTCATAACAACAGTATCTTACTCTGCAAATTTGGTATGGAAGATTTGTGTTTCTGAGGAGTAATCCCAAGTGATCTGTAAGACAGCAGGAGACAGATCCCCTTCTTGTTATTGCATGATGTAGTGCCAAGAGAAAAAAAAATATGATTTAGTGTAATCTTTATTTTAATTCAATACTATTAATATATCTGCTCCATATGTATTTAATTATTTCTTCCTCCTAGCATATTAAAAATTGTGATTTAGATGGCAACGGTTGAAGTGGTTTTATGGACATTATCCAAGATCTTTTGAGGACTGCCTACACCCCTGAGATCTCAAGTGAAAGATTATTTCTATAAAATAGGATATAGAGGAATGTATTTGGAGAAACAGCTTAAAACATGATCTTCAAAGAGTGAACATGACTGGACATGGATATGAGCTAAATTTGAGCCTACTGTGTAAGTGGTAAAGGTGGTGAGGCAGAATCATTTCCATACTTTTACTTCATCTGCAAAATGTTGCCAACTGCACTATTCAAAGTGTCCCAGACCTTTTATGGAAGGATTGGCCAGAAGAATAAACTTATGACAGCTATTACAATCTGTCTGACCATTTGATGGAAAAACAACTCTTACCTGCTCCAAGTTGGAAACTAGATAGACAGAATCTACTGAGATGACAGGCATCATTGAAGATTTTTGAGCTGTAGATCTCATGGAAGTGGACAGAACTGCAGCTCTGCTCTTCCATTTGTACATTGGATCCCTGCCCCACCCGGGAGGAGACTAGAAGTTGGATCCAGATTGTAGTCAGTGTTTCTCTGGAGGAAGAGGGTGTTCCAGCCACTCCTTAAGAAGCCTGGCCTGGATCTCATGAAAATGAGCAACTTTCATCCTATATACACCCACCCCTTCTTGAAGAGGATTGGGGAGAAAGCAATAGGGCTCTGGCAGTCTGAATTCAGGCCTGGCCATGGGACAAAAGCTACATAGGTTACTCTCCCTTGTAGTAAGTTGTGAAAGCAGGGAGCATTACCATCTTGTCCTTAGCAGCTTTTGATAATGTCAAGCACAGTGTTCTTCTGAATTGCCTGCAAGGCTGGTTCCAAACAGCTTCCACATTCCACGTTCTACTTTCCATTCATTCTGTTGGAAGATTAGTATTTTTTTTTTTTATCACAATACAGTATCTGACTTGTATTGTCAGGCAAGGCCTTCCTTAGTCTCTGAACCCAAGGAACATGATCCTTTTTCATCTTGTACCCACCATGCTTGAAATCTAGAGCTAATATCCATGAATTTGCTGACCTCACTTGTGTTAATCTTGGTTTAAGAAATTAACTATTTTTGTGGGGTTTACATAACACACTGGACTATCAACTTATAAATACATAAGCTAAGTTCTCTCAATGTGTAAGGTAAAATGTGGTTGGCTAGTTTGTAGTTCAGTGTATCATATGAACACAGATCTCTCCTTGCAGTCATGAGAATTTCTTCTGCATTTCTACAAGGAATACAACTGCATCACTGGGAATTTTTTTCATTCCCAATTCAGTCATAAGGATGATATATCAGAGCTTTAGAGTGATATCTGAATGTTAACCTGGCAAGCCTGTTTTCGAAAATGTGAACTTAGGCATAGTTTTTGGTTGTGCTGGTAGTTCCAGATTCCCCAGGAATTGTTCAGTGCGGTCTTTCAATGAATGTTTGAAAAAATCAAGTCTGTAATTCACAACTTGGAACTATATCCCATAAATGCCCAAAGACCATGTCAACTCTTTTTTAGCAGGGTCCTAATGAAATCAGAAATAACAATGATGCATATACAATACATTGCTAAGCAAAAACAGATTCATTAGCATCTTTCTTATTAATACCATTTTGTTGTGGAAACCTAGGTAAGCCTCAGAATTCTCATGAGAGATAGATGTATACATTTTAAACTGCCAAGGATCATTCCAGCAACAATTTCATAAATTTGGTTTTCATCCTGAAACAATAGTTTGCTTGCAATCATAAATTATCTTAACCTATCCCGCCTCCCAGATAT